CTTCATGCGACTCGCCGAATATCTCACGGCGCTTCGCGCTTGGTGATGTGAGAGCCTGGTCCGGTGAGAACCCGGCGTGCTCCGTCCCGGCCTTGTAGGAATGCGAGGTCAATGGTCTAACGACTACGGCATGTGCGACCAGGAGTACACCNGATGCTAATGATAAAAGCACACACACACACACACACACACACACACACACACGCGAACGACTGTGATGTGATAGGACTCCAAGAGACCCGACGAGCGGGACAAGGCGCGATTACACACGACGGGTACGTGATCATCTGGAGTGGTGCCCGTGCCGGCACCAAGGACAAGAGGGGCGTGCACGGTGTGGGCATAGCGATTAAGGAGACCATGTGGGACAGCGTAGGCGAGGGAGGTAGGACGGTGGAGTGCATTAGCCCGAGGCTGATGAAGGTGCGCCTGCAAATTGGCCGCACCTGCGGAGTAACTTTCGTGGTGGGGTACGCCCCTACGGAAACTGCCCGCAACACCGCGGGCGGTGATGTCAATGCCAAGGACTCCTTCTGGACTGCTCTCGACGCAGAGATCCGGGAGGTCCATAGCCGTGACCATCTCGTGGTACTAATGGACGCCAACGCACGTACTGGCAGGAGGCGAGACGGATGCTGCGATGCCAAGATTATGGGCGCGTACGGACGCGACATTATGAACAACAACGGGGAACGACTTCTCGGACTGGCAGCAGACAACCGACTCTCCCTGATCAACACCTACTTCCGGACACCGAAAGGAGGAGTGCAGCATACGTTCCAGAGCTCCAACAAGGGGAAGGAGAAGCACCGCCTCGACTTCATCCTCATGCGACAGACGGACCGGCGTCTCGTACGTAATGCCTCCGTCAAACGTGTCGATTTCAAGGACTCTGACCACAACCTGGTGCATACGACTGTCCGCTCCCCCCCCCGTGTCGCACCCAACCGACGAACGCGGGGAAACAGCGGAAGCAGCCGGATCCGTATCGACCTCGAACGGTTGAGGAAGGATGTGCACCTACGGGCCGTCTTCCAAGACAGGGCTCTCAACCGCCCTCCGCCCACGGCCCTCAGCAGGCCAACGGGAGAGACCGCCGCCGAGCTCACCGCTGTGGTGATGTCGGCCGCTGCGGAGATCGCGCCGCTGGCGAGGAGCGCACGAGGGAAGGGAGGATGGTACACGAGCGAAGCGCAGCACGAGATTTCCGAAGCGTCTAGGGAGATAAGAGTGGCCCAACAGCAGCTGCGCGGGGCCTCAAAGAACAGCGACTTAGAGACGACCCTGAAGGCGAAGCTCAAGGCGGCGCGGAAGAAACGCAGCAGCGCGAGGTGGAGAGCACTGGAAAAGTTCTTCGAGGGCTATGTGAGGCAGCTCGAGAAGAAGAGCCGTGAGGGGGACCAGGCGGGTTTCTACAGGCACCTGAAGATGATCGACGTCGAAGGTAAGAGGCCACTTACCTCCCAGAACATCAAGGACGAGGACGGTAAGGTCCTTCGGGACCCCACGCTTACCCGCCAGCGGTGGGCGCGGTGGTTCCACAAGCTCCTTAACACCAAGTCGCCGACCATCGACCTGCATGCGACCGACAGAGTCAAGCAGTGGCCCACGTGCGTTCCGCTCGACGACATCCCGTCTCTATTCGAGGTTGAGGAGGCGGTGCGGGGAATGGCCAACAGGAAGGCCGTCGGGCCGGACGACCTACCGGCTGAGCTGATCAAGCTGTTCCTGGATGGAGACCGAGGCTTCCTCCGCGAATTCCACGCCATCGTCGTGGACGTGTGGCAGACGGGGAACGTACCGCAGCAGTGGAAGGACGCCACCATCAAGGTTCTGTTCAAGAAGGGGGACACGATGGAGTGCGGCAACTACCGGGGCATCTCTCTCGTTGCACACGCCGGCAAGGTGCTGCTTAAGGTCGTTGCAACACGCCTAAGCCACTACTGCGAGCGAGAGGGCATCCTCCCGGAGGAGCAGAGCGGTTTCCGCCCACACCGGTCGACGCTCGACATGCTGTTCGCGATCCAGCGGCTCCATGAGCTCGCGAGGAAGAAGAGTACTGCGGTCTTCGCGTGCTTCGTCGATCTCACCAAGGCGTACGATTCGGTGGACCGAGATCTGCTGTGGGACGTGCTCGGACGCTTTGGCGTGCCCCCGAAGATGCTGGCGGTCATTCGCCACTTCCACGAGGGCATGAGGGCGCGGGTTCGAACGGACGACGGGCAGTACTCGGAATGGTTTGACGTCGGCCAAGGTCTCCGACAGGGGTGCAACCTGGCCCCGCTGCTGTTCAACTTGTTCTCTGCCGCGATGCGCATGGTCGCAGTGACCGAGTTCGACAAGGACCCCAAGGTGACGGCGGATATGATCAAGATCGCAACACGAGTGGAGTGCACGGGCAAGAGGGGCAGGTCGGCGGGGAAGAAGGCGATGATGGTGACGGTCGCAGAGGCCCTGTGGGACATGCTCTACGCTGACGACGCGGCCATCGTCTCGCTCACGCCGGAGAGCCTCGAAAAGATGATGTCCATCATCGTGCGCGTGGCCGGCCTGTTCGGACTGATGGTATCGGAGCCAAAGACGGAGATCATGTGCATGCTACCGAAAGGGCTGGGGGAACGCCCGTTCGCGGTCAGCGCCGCTGGCCAGACGTACAAGCAGACAGATCGGTTTGTGTACCTCGGACGTACCATCTGCGCGGATGGGAAGGTCGACCGGGAGATCACGAGCCGCATCTGCCGAGCATGGAAGTGCTACCGCCGGAACAGCACTTCGATGTACGACAGGAAACGGGCCAACCGCCAGCTCAAGATCCGACTACTCCAGGCTGAAGTGGTGCAGACCCTCCTATACGGGTGCGCCTCGTGGAGCCTGGCAGCGGAGCACTACACCAAGCTGAATGGGACCCACCGCCAGTTCCTGACACGGTGTATCGGCTGGAGCAAGCGGAAGCGCTCAGACCGACCCCTGTCCTACGCCCAGGCCCTCATCCAGGCAGGCTGCGAGGAAACCATCGAGGCCACCGTGCGCAAACGGAGGCTGTGTTTTGCGGGCTTCGTTATGCGCATGGAGGACAACCGCCTCCCCAAGCGCATGCTGCTGGGAGCGATGGCGGGGGGTACCGGATACCGGGGCGGGCAGGAGAGCGACTGGGTGTATCGCCTAGGAGAGGACCTCGTGGCGTTTGGCATGAAAGAGGAGAAGGAGGGGGGGAGATGGAAAGAGAGCGCCAAGGACCAGGAGGCGTGGTACGACAAGATCGAGGACGGGGCGGCATGGTTCATGAGGAAATGGCACAGACAGGAGGCGGAAGCATCCGCGAAGCGCCAGCGCCAGCGCGCGGAGGAAGCAGAGACGGAGAGCACGGCCGCCCCGGGCCCGAAGAGAAAGAGAATCGGGGAGGCGGCGGGGGGGGGGAAGAAACGGCGACCGGACACTGCTGTAGAAGCGAGTAGGGCGGCCAAGGCCGCGCTTGCGGCGAACGACGTACCCAACTGATGATGTTGTCGCACCCTGTGTTCCCTTTTCCCTGCCGTAAGCTGTATGCTCTTAGTATTGCCTCCGGCCTCTCTTTGTGCTTTTCTTCTTTCTTTCTTTCTTGTTCTCCATGCCCTCTCTACGATGATCTTGGACGATACCTCGAGCTCCTTGTTATTTTTGTTTTTTCCTTTGCTGGCTGCCTGCCACCTCTGCTGCCTCTTTGGTGCGGTGCCTACCCTACACTAATGCGCTGGTGCATACTGCACTGCTGTAGTACCTGGTACTGGTGTACGTTGTCCTTCGATTTTTTATTTTTTTTTTTTTGTGGAAATATATATGTGTTTGTTTTTCGCCCCCCGTCTTGCTGCACCCCCTGGGGTGTGGTGCAGGGCGGGGGATGCCTGGTCGGCGGGAACCCGGCACGGAACCCTCCGGCGTTGTAGGCGGGTGTGGGAAGCGTTCCCCGTTCTCCTTTTATTTTATTTTGATCGGTCTCCTCGACGCTCTTTCTCGTTTGGTGCGGTAGCTGGTCTTTCTTTCTATCATTTTGTTTCTCTTCCGAGTGGTTTTTGTACCCTATTTTTTTCTGTTTCTGCGTGGGGTCGTGTATGCCGGGTTTTGAGACCACGGGCTCCCAATCTTTCTTTTTTAGAGCTAATGTGAGAAACAACAACAACAACAACAACAACAACAACAACAAACACACACACCCGGTGTTTGCCATCGAGATTGGATTCTCGTCGCTTGGCAGCGATGTTGTAAAACAAGCCGATCACTTCGTGAGCTCGGCAACCAGGTTACCGCTTTTTTTTTGCCTTTGTTTTCTTTTTTTGCGGTAACCATGATGAATGGCGGTCGATTAGATCATGTTGTGCGGGGTGGAGAACCCTCACTCCGTGCAAGGGGGGCGATCGCACCACGTTGTGTTAAATTCGTCAAGCACTCTCGAGGCAGGGACACAGTGCTTACAACTGTCTCAGGAAGTGAAAGCACCAGAAAATTATTCAGTCATACCCGACTGTCATCCTTACGCAAGGAAGTAAGCACAAGATGCCGAACCCCTTAGCAGGATGCAGCGCACCCTTCATGCGACTCGCCGAATATCTCACGGTGCTTCGCGCTTGGTGATGTGAGCGCCTGGTCCGGTGAGGACCCGGCGTGCTCCGTCCCGGCCTTGTAGGAATGCGAGATCAATGGTCTAACGACTATGAAAGCACAAGAAAATTATTCAGTCATACCCGACTGTCATCCTTACGCAAGGAAGTAAGCACAAGATGCCGAACCCCTTAGCAGGATGCAGCGCACCCTTCATGCGACTCGCCGAATATCTCACGGTGCTTCGCGCTTGGTGATGTGAGCGCCTGGTCCGGTGAGGACCCGGCGTGCTCCGTCCCGGCCTTGTAGGAATGCGAGATCAATGGTCTAACGACTACGGCATGCACGACTAGGAGTACACCCCATGATGAGCTGAACTACTGGTGTGCGCGTTACCCCGGATTGGACCGACTGGCCGCGCGGCACCTACATGCATCGCCCACTGCCCGCTGCTGGAAAATAACTGTATTTCAACGATTCTGTGAGCGTGTCAACGTTTCGCGCTGGTTGGGTTGGTTGCTGTGGAGGTTGCTTTTTTCCCAAGAAATGTGCAACATCAAAAGCCACATGTCCGGATGCATGCGTGCGTGCAGGGAGACACAGTCCAAGTAGCAAGCCTGAGATGCATGAAGGCTTGGACCACTCACTGGCAGCGCCTGCTGATCCTTTGCTTCGTGTGTGTGGGTGTGCTGATGCTTTTACAGTGTGGTGCACATTGTCTCTCGCTCTTCTACTTGTTTGGTGACCGCGTCACCCGGCGGCGGCGATTGATTGCCTCGATTGGTAGGAATTTATGTGGGGGTGGGCAAAAAAATTATAGTTTGAGCGGCGCAAGCTCTTTTTTTGGCCCACAACCCAGTTGCAATAAGTCCATCCAAGTAATATGGGTCCTCTCAACTCATTTTGGTGATGCAACTACGTGTTAACAACGGTTAAATACAGTTGTCCCCGCTTTAAAGACGCCATTTTTAAAGACACTCCCCGCTTTAAGGACACAAATTTTTCAGAAACATGGTGCCCCGCAGATGTGAAAAGTAGGGGGGGGTAGGGTTTTCCACCATTCTACCTCCCCACAGAAAATGTGCTGCAGCACCTGTAGATCCTGGATCATCGACAGCGGTCTGCTGCCGCACACTGCGTGTGGGTGTATGGAAAGATTCATTCCATCTGCTAGCGGCTCGTCTTCTGCCGGCTTGAAGCCATGCGGCGAACCGACGTGCCAGTTCAAATCTGCACTGGTGTCACTGGTTCATTAGTGTCCGTGCGGGCGACCCATGCACGCGTTTTGTGGTCGGGGCATCGGAGAGGAAGGCCATATCAACACCAGCGCACTACTGCCGTGTACATGTGCGATGCGTAGGTCGTAGAACACCTTCGCTTTCAGCGTTTTGGTGATACAGTACGGGGAAATTCAAACGATGGTATGCAAGTATGTATTACAGCACATTAGCAGCAGTGGTTGCGACCTTCAAATCACCTTGTGTCGTATGTTTCAAACAACACCTCTTGTGGTCGCCTTTCCTTCTGCTGTGAATGCGCACCTTTTGGCGTATGTTTCGCCTTCATTGGCCCCGGTGATGGTGCGTTAGTGGCCACGGAACTTTGAAGACACTTCCCCGAGTTAAAGACATGTTGGCGTGCTTCAGCACCTTGTAGATACAGCATGACTGGAAGTAGGCTCGTGGGGCTGCCCCCAGAAAGGGGCAAAATAAAAGGTAAATCCATGCCGGGGCTCGAACCCGGAATCTTCCGCTTCGTAGGCGGACGCCTTATCCATTGGGCCACACGGACTTCTCTTTGTGACCATATGCAAAATTATGTCTATCTGAATCCGTTGGCTTGAACACACACACCTCTGTTGAGAGAAGCAGTTGTTGTTGTTGTTGTCTTCACATTAAAAACCATCCCGGTCTCTCTATCCAGTACCTCCTTCTGTCTCAATCTCTCTCCGTACTAATCCAGCACTTGACTCGGTCAATTTCCGTGGTCACAGGCTAACGTACCTAGAAAAGGTATACCAAAATAAAATGGACCCCAAGGGTTAGCAGAGCGATAAAATACAAGAAAACAAAAAAATCATAAACAAATATATAAACAAATAGTGGAACGTGCGCACCACCAGCCTGGGGGTAGCCTTCCGGAAGGACCCCAAGGGTCAACAGTACGTGCCAGAAAAAAAAAAAAAAACGAAATAAACCAAAGAAAGACGAGGACATAAACAAACTCGCACAGAGACAGGGATATCCGTAGAGACAGTCTGAACGCGACAGCAAACGGGGGAGAGGGCAACAGAAAAACTAGTCGCTGAAATTCAACCGCAACATGTCACGTCACGCGGTCGGTCTCTTCTCGCTTGCTTTCTTCCCGCGCCGTTTCCTCCCGCCCCCCTCCCGCCCCGTTGATTGGTGCCGTATCTAGACTATTTTTGGGCCCGCTGTCTCCTCGTTTGATGGCTCGTTGTCGGCTGGCCTTCTCCTCGCCCTTGTGCCAAGAGGCCATAAACCTCTCAGCTCCCTGTAGCACCCCCGCGTGCCACGGTACCCCCCCCTCCACCTTCGCCGCCTCGTCCCAGTCTGGCTTCGGGATTCCGAAGAAGCTCCGCTTGTC